GAGGTTTTCTGTTGTTACTCACACAGGTGGTCAAGACTCTGCCAGGGCACTTCACGACCCCCAGGTACTTAGCCCTGGAACTTAAGGTTCCAAATGGCTCTGTATGTAAAAGCCATTTGTTTCCTGGGGGGTGTCACAGGAGACCCAAACCTTGAGGCTCTTGAGTGCCACAGCCTGTTTTTTGAAGAGTTGCCTAAAATCTGAAATGTAAGTCAGCCTGCAGAAAGAAGCTATGGTTCTGTCTGGCTCATCAGTTAGAGACCAGACAAAAGGGTCTGGGTGCTTCGGTGAGTGATGAAGGGCTGTGTGCTTTCAGGCACGAACTCTGTATCCTTCTTCAAAGGATAGTTAGAAGGTTGTTTTGATTTTTGCAAAGGAAGAGCATATACATATATGGACTGGCCCACACTAGTCCAACTTAAGGGTCCTCAATTTAGTGTGATTTTATATTTTGTTTTCTCCTTTGCCCATGCAATGGTAAGGCCCTTCATACAAATGCCTTAATAAATGATAACCAGAACATGCCTGATTTGGCATCTTCCATGACATGGAAATTGAACCCCAGGTTCAGTTGGGGATGGGGAAGCAGCATCTACGTGGTCACCAGGTCAGCTGCTGAGCCCTAGCTTGACCCTCTGTGTACTCCTGAAGAGCTGTTGGGATCTGGTGAACAGACACAATAGACTGGAGGGTGGTGAGTGTCTGCGAGACTCAAGGAACAGACTTGGTTTCCATTTGCAAACAAAGTAACACTGCAAGCCCCACATGAATTCTGGAATTAGTCTTTGCTATATGTGTGATTTTTTTTTCTTTTTTTCTTTCTATTTATTTATTTATTTTTTACCAAGTCAGGGGTGTGATGAGTTATCAAACTCTGCGGACCAGAGAAAGGAATAGAATCAAATCACCTGAAACATGCTATTCAGAGCAGGTAGGACTGTAGTCTGCTCAGGGACCTATAACTTTCACTTTCATTCCATCCCTGGGCCTCCTTGCATCTGGGAGTCAGAGAATAATAATAAAATAAAGGCAGGCTGTAACAAGAAATGTGATCCTTGGGGTACCCTACTAAGCTGTGCCTCTGTCAGTCAGGTTTCCTATTTGATGGAAAGAGCTCTGCCCTTTCCAGCTCTGCCAGGCATTCCCCTTGGCGGTGAGGGGGCGTGGGCTTGATGTGAAACTGAGCCCTCTCCTTGCTGTATAAGGAAACGTTCCCTGGAATGGGCTTCGGGTCCCTGCTCAGTCAAGAGGCAGACTTTTTACTCCCAGTGACAGCTGCAAGGCACCGATTTACGGCAGGGCACTAGCTCAGAATTCCAATTACCGTTTGAGTTTGCAAAGAGCCTACATTTCCGTGCCTATGGTGCATTTTTACAACTTGCCACTGTGATGGCCAATATAGAGCCATCCCTCGTTACTAATATTTCTAACCAAATGATTTGCGGAATGAGAGCGCAGGTGATATATATATATACTTAAGGCTTTTTGCTCCTTGCCGGGGGTTGGGGTGGAGGGAAGTGCTGGGGAATCTGCTCGGAATTTCAAGAGGTTAAGAAAGGCAGGTGGAGATGGTGAAGGCTATCAGATTTTGGAAGCCGAGGAACACCTGTGAGGGTGTGGGAAACATGTATTTTCTGTTTACAGTAATTAATTTTTGTTTCAGAGATCAGCTCTCCCTAATGAAGGTAGCATGTGCCAGAGAGTTAATAAAGGATTTGGGGGGGCACTTGCACTTCATGCTTTATGCACACCCATAGCTTGACGCAGTAGCATTCGTTTCTTCTACAACTCTTGACAGTCTATTTCCTTTGGCTGAAGGATGACTAGAGTCGCTGTTGTAAGAGCAGGATATTGAGGATCTGGAGACTAGCACATCCCCTGCGCCCAGGCTGTCATTTTTGCCCGTTAATGCTCCACAGGGCAGGAGGATGGAAGGTATGTCTTCTAGCTTTGACAATTCATGGATCTTCAAGGCGCTTGCATCGCTATGTTTTAGCAGTGGATCAAAGTGTATAGATTTCAAGTAACAGCTTTGTTGCCTCTGTTGGAGGAAATCCACGTGTCTGTCCACATGCACGTCAGCACAATGGAGGAAAAAAAAATCTCAACATTTTAAAATAGATCTTTAAAAACATTACCAAGACTATGTAGTGCTTTAAAAAAAATCCTCCTTCTGAACTTTGAAAGTCTTTTTCTGCACACATAAAGGAAAGGTCTTATGTGGCTGTTTTGCTTAATGTGGGCTGGTTTTATTTTGGACTCTTTGAAACCCAGCGTGAAGGCTAAAATTCTATGTGGAGAAGTAAAAAATGAAAGGAATGGTGAGGTTTTGGTTGTGCTAAATTAAAGTGACAAGGTACTGATAACAGGGCATGGCTGTGCCCACAAATTAGCCCTCTCTAATTTGCTGCTGAGGAAAGGACTGCTTTGGTGTTGCATTGTAATTTCTCTCTTGAATTAAAAGTTTAGAAAGTCTAGTTTGCTCAAAAGAGAAAACCTGGAAAACGTAAGCCTTTCAGTTTTGAAATGGCCCATGGTTCCCCTATGTTCAAGGAACTGTTTGAGCTAATCTTGCTTCAGAAGTATGTAAATTACATGGTATTATGTTTAGAAGCCACACTGTGTGTTGGATTATTTGTGTGCTACTTAAGGTAGCCTTTTCCAAAGTTTTTGTTCCAATCCAGGATGTACTTTGTGTTCCTTAGGTGGCATCTGTGTTTTGTGTGGTCTCCTCTGTATATATGAGGTGCTATAGGGGCGCCTGGGTGGCTCAGTCGGTTGAGCATCTGACTTCAGCTCAGGTCATGATCTCATAATGAATTCATGGGTTCATGAATTCAAGGTGTCCAGCTCTGGGCTGACCGCTTAGAGCCTGGAGCCTGGAGTCTGGAGTCAGCTGGAGCCTGATTTTGTGTCTCCCTCTCTCTCTGCCCCTCCCCCACTCATGCATGTGTGCTCTCTCTATCAAAAATAAACATTAAAAAAAATTAAAAATAAAAAAAAATAAGGTGCTATATTATGTACAGAATAGATTTCTGATGGGGGAAGGAGGTAAAGAAGGCAAAAGTTACTTTCTCCAACTACATTTAGTTCTAGGCAGCAGCTTGATATTGATGGGGAGCTGGGATGACATTAAGTTTCTCCAGGTACAATATGGCCTACCTCAAATTACAATATCCCTGTACCCCAAACTCAGCTTTCTAGAGGGCTGAAATGTTGTCATTCTGCGAAATCAATGATCATATTACAAAAAATTGGCCTCATGGATTGTAGATATGATTCGGGATTGTTTATTACAGTACTGTAAAAAAATGGCAATTCATGATAATTCATCTTTTGTTTTTAGTTTCTGTTGGTGTTTTCTCAAGGAGAGACCCGCTGCTCCATATCAGATTGTCCACTCCTTGATGTTGACACTTGTGTCCTCGTAAGAGGCTTTAATTCATCATGGCTAATCCATACTTAGATAGTTACGGTGTTTCCTAAACTGTGTTCCAAAGGTGGTTAATAGATGTGTTGTGGAAAGGGTTTTATGGTCAAATTTGAGAGACACTGGGATAAACAAAGCTAACAGATTGCTTTACTGAAGGACTTTTCTGGGCCTTTAACATTTATATATGCACATTGTAAATTGTCAGGACAGTGAGTGGAGTAGACATCTGGCACAGGTATCTGTTCCTAAGTGCATGCCTAGGGAACCCTGCCTCAAACTTTGGCTCTGCCTGTCTGCTATGGGTTAAAACTGTGTCCCTCCCGGAAAAGATATCTTAGAGTCTTCCCCTTGCCCCCAGTACCTCAGAATGCGACCTTATTTGGCAATAAAGTCTTGTAGATGTAGTTAGTTAAGGTGAGGTTATATGGGAGTAGGGTGAGCCCCTAATCTATTATGATCAGGGCCATTAATAAAGGGGGAATTTGGACATAGACACATACATACCGTAGGACAGTGCCGTGTGAAGATGGAGTTATGTTGTCACAAGCCAAGGAACTACCAGAAGCTAGGAGAAAGGCCTGGGATAGATCTTTCCTGAGCACGTTCAGAGGGAGCATGGTTCTACCCACACTTAATCTCAGACTTCTCGCTCCAAAACTGTGAGACAACACATTTTTGTTGCTAAGCCCACTCAGTTTGTGGTACTTTGTTATGGCAGCCCTAACAAACATTGCCATTTTAGACTTGGGCTCAGTATCTCAGGCTTGTTTTCAGGGTGGGCTAGAACCACATTCCTAGTTCTAGAAGCTTCTCAGCCAAGCTCTTCTCTGATCTTTTCTGCATTGTGGGTTCATTCTTTTTTTTTTTTTAATTTTTAAAAAATGTTTATTTATTTTTGAGAGAGACAGAGAGTGCACAGGGGAGGGGCAGAGAGAGAGGGAGACACAGAATCCGAGGCAGGCTTCAGGCTCTGAGCTGTCAGCACAGAGCCCGACCTGGGGCTCGAACTCACAAACTGTGAGATTGTGACCTGAGCTAAAGTTGGACGCTTAACTGACTGAACCACCCAGGTGTCCCGGTTCATTCTTTATATATGCTGTGTGTGGTACTTCCACTAGGGCATGCGCCTTCTTCCCATTGACCTGGAACACTGGTTCCTAA